GGAATTGGTGGTTTTGGTCAGCTGTCAGTTTTGAAGAAGCCTAGAGAAAGCTATGTCAGCTAATGAATCATAATCATTGGCTTCAGGAGCTAAGTAAAGGAAGATTCCATGAACAGTTTTTTTCCAATGGAACATACTTTTCTTATCTGCTTGCCTGGGAAGGGAGGGGGGAGTGCAGGTGGACAGGGTTCAGAAGGAATTCAAACCCTTATTAATTGGGTTTCCAATTTAAAACTTAGGGCCCCAAAAAAATTTAACAGTATTCAGGAACCTATTTACTAATCAGCGTCCAACATTACAATCAACGGTTTGTTGAGTCTTAGACATTTATCGATTAATTGTTTCTATCCTCCAAAAGAGATGGCTTCCCCGTCGAACTACCCCGCTGCTTTCGTTGCAATCCTGTCAGAAAACACTTTCACGAAAAATTTTGCTGTGGTTTCGCCAAGTTTGCACCTTCGAGCTTGCTTCTCAGGCCAACTCTTCTGAAGTTATGGTTTATGGGACTGCTGTGGTCATTGAGTGATGCAAGAGTAAAAGAGCAAACAAGAAAAACTTTTGCACGAAGTGGAGGTCTGAATGGCATAAGCCAAACTTAGATTTCTGCGCTTTGCGGGACGCGCGCGTGGCAAAGGCCCAACGATCTTGATATCAGAATCAGAAGGGCTGTAGGGCACGTGTGAGGTCCTTTCCATGTGGTAACTTGGCCATGCCGTTGCTGGCAAGGTGTTGTTGCCGTAATCCTTCGTTCGGTTTGGCGAGAATTTGACTCGCCAGTCAAGAGCAAACCGTAGGGTTGGCTCACAATGCTGTTGCCCTGGCTTGCATTGCGCAGAGAATCAAACTGCCTCGGAATCGTGTTTGAGCCAACCCTAGCAAATGCTCAAAAGCCAAATTTTTGTGGTTCGTCTAATCTGTCTAGCTCCAAGACGAGTTGTTTTGCTCGCTTGCTGTTTCGCAGATCACTTTTGTAAGCAGCAAGCAGAAAGGATTCTGTTTTTGGTTAGGCCTAGCTTGCAGAAGAGCAGCTGGAAAATAACAGATGCAGATTGATTCTTCATGATTCATCGATTTCCACAGTTTCAGCCATCCTAGTGACTTTGGAATAGTGCAACTCGAAGTTCATTTTGGCTTAGAGGGTCCAAGATTCCTCGGGCCAAGTGTTCCGATGGTCGGGGCCCACAGCTGCAAAGCTTGCGTGAAAGCTGGAAGTGCACTGAAATGAAAGATGTGACACAATTCAATGATACACATTTTTCTTTTGAATTTTATCTTTACTTCTTTCTGTCGCTTGTTGTCTCGTCCGTAGCTGGTCTGCAAATTCTACCTTTGAAAGGCACGCCCCGTCCAGCCCGGCCCTGGACAAACTTCACTGGACATATCCGACATATCCTCAATAGAATTTTCCGAGGGTTCCAGGCTCAGTAGGCAGTTTGCACACCGGCCTATGTCTGTTGAAAAAGAGGCCGGTGAGGAGTGTTCCGCAAAAAGAGCAAACTCGACTGCAAAATCGGCACTGCGCGTTGCTGCTGGTTTTGACATGCTACATGCCACCATGCCACTATTACAGTGTCGTCACTTTGCAACTAGTCAGAATGGACCTAACTTTTTCTCACATTCCATCATAGGATCTGCACGGTGTTGCTCCTCTGGGTACTCGGGAGGCTTCCCTCTAGACCAAGCCAACAAACGATTCGCATGATGCGCACGCAGTGCCAACTGTCACAATGACAATGTTGGTGGTGATGTGAATGCAGCCTCCCAAAAGTGATCAAACCATTCAGCACTGGTGGCTTTCCTGCTTGCAGCCTGTGCTGCAGTGGAAACAAGGACACAAGCAATGCCTGGCAGAGGCCATTTGCAGCAATTCAATCTTGGAATGCATGCTTCGGGTGGCACAGTTTATATGCATGCTTATCCATAAGTTTATCATGTTTATAGTTTTTGCAATCGTTTTAAGCCGTCAAACGCACTGGGAAGTGAATGGCCATGGCAAAACAAATCTAGGTCCGCGAGGTGTACACCTGGGTTTTCCTCCAACCCTACAGAATCGTACACAGAACCCCTTTAGCAACATTGATGTGCTCAACCCTGCTACTTTGCCGTCCGATCTCCGCAGACTTGTTGCAATGAACTTGTGATGTTTCGTCCACGCTTCATCACGCGTCGTGCCAGAGTCCTTTAAGTCCCCAAGCTCGCTCTGTGGTACTGCAATCTTTATCACCTTGCAAAACCCTGAGCCTGATTATGTTGCATTGGTTAAGTTTGAAGGGTCATTATTCTTCTATATACTTATATATATATATATATGCGTATGCTGATTGTCAGTGATGGATACAGGGACACCGCGCGCTCAGAGCTAATTTGCACTTTGCAAGGTGTTTGACAGCATGTTCCACCACGGGCAATGGGAGGTGCAAGAGCTTTGAGTATAACTCCAAAGCGCCAAGAAGTTCCTGAATGCAGTGTTTTTTGATTTTCAGTGCTGAGCATGAATCGAGTGACAGAGCCAAGATGAACTGCCAGGACCATCCCATCACGCTTTGCACCCAGAGGAATTCGCATCGATTCCGGAGAGAGGCTGAAAGGTGTCAACCAACAAAGACCTGTTCTTTATTTTTTTGGGATTCACTTTGGCCATGCTGATTTTGTTTGGATTTCCACTGTTTGAAACTTTCCAGCAGCTCTGTGTCACCCGCTCATGTCTCAGGGATGTGGCACCTGTCAGACACTGGAATCTCAGACATAGCCATACCCAGGAGATGTTTTTCTTTCCAGACGGGAGATTCAAAAGATGATAGATGTTTTGGGGGGTTCGACAAAGGATCGAAACGTTGTGAAGGCTTGTCGGAGGCGTCCTTTTCCCTCAAACCTAATGGAAGGACGCTGGACATGCGGTGCATGCGCCAGATGTGATCACGCCAATTAGGCAAGTCTGGGTGAGGGGGAGCGAAAGGCACTTTAAGTGGAGTTGAACACTTGAGCAGTAGTAAGTTTGAGACTTGAGCACTTGAGCGCCATCTTCATGGGTACGTTAGACCACGAGAATAACTGAATTATTGTGAGGCCACGGCACCTTCGTGGCCAGGAAGGGCACGCGCCTCATCGTGGGCCTTCGGGCCTTTATAGGGACGAGAGGCCTATAAACTACTAGACGCGAATGGCCCGGGAGTGTGGAAAGACGAGCGCGCCAGTATATAGTATATAGGTGTACTGTATATCGGTGTGTCCACCTTCTTGAGACTTGCTGTGGAGAGGTGAATGGTGTATGTGCTCCTGGCACTCAGAGGAAACTAGTGGATCTAATGTGGCCACACCATGCCTCATGGCACAGCAACATCACAGACGTAATTTCGCCACACGGTGTACCACAGACTGACTAGACACAACAATGTAACACCAAGCCTCGTGGGCACCGCCAATCATCCCGCTCCCCAGCGAGACGCCGCATTTACACCAGTTCTGCGGCCACGGCTCCCAGAAGCCGCTTCCCGTGCTACAGTTGTATTCTGAGGCCACATCCTACAAGCAGCTTCCCGCACTACACTTGCGCTACAAAGTTCCCAGCTCTGAGGCGACGGCTCCCAGAAGCTGCTTCCCGCACCATTTGCAATACAAACGTGCCACTTCTGTTGCCACAGCTTGCAGAAGCTGCTGCCTGTACTAGGTTTATACTACAAGCTCCCCATGTCGGACGACTGTTGCGCACTTTGGCGACCTCCACCTCAACGCCACTTGCACACTTTGGCAACCTCGCCTGCGTTTTCTGCGACAGACACTTTCGCAACCTCCACCTTGGTTTTCGACGACAGTTACACACCTTTGGCAACCCCACCTTTGTTTTTGACGACGCTTACGCACTTCCGCCTTTGTTCGGCGACAGCTAGTTACACACTTTGTCCACCTCCACCTTCGTTTTCCACGAAAGTTTTTGTACACACTTTGTCCTCCTCCACCTTCGTTTTCGGCGGTTGCCATTTCCGACGACAATTGCAAAGTTTTAGACCTTGGCAACTCCCACATTGAATTTCGGCGACAGTTGCGCACTTTGGCAACAACATGCGCATTTTGCCTCAGCGCTCCACACGCGCGATCTCCGCAGAGGACTCACCGGGCTTGCCCAGAATTCGCGTATCACCTCACGTTTGAGCGTCCGACGCGCGCGATGTCCGCAAAAGGTTCATCAATGCGCCCCGAATTTGGGATTTCACGTCACGGACAGGCCCCCGGCTAAGACAATATATATAGATATATGGAGCCGGTGCTCGATGTTAATCTGTTTTCTGAAGCAAGACCCCTAGGATATTCTGTTAGCTGAAGCAAGATCCCAGCCCTTCGTAGCAGCAGCTCTAGAAGAAGACCACGCCTGCAAGTTGCAGATGTACTTGTAGCATACCTACAAGCGCAGCCCCCATAGTAGCGCTCTAGAAACCACACCTGCAAGCTGCAGATGTACTTGTAGCGTACTACAAATGCAGCTGTATAAGTCGCGCAGACCTGTAACGCAAACCCTTTCTACAGAAGAACCCTTCGCAACGCCCGGTCGGATAGTGAAACGAAGACAACTGAAGAGCGCACCATCGACCATAACTAACTTGCACCGGCGTGCTGTGTGGTTTTCTTAACCAAGACCCATGTGGCACGCTACGCCGATGCGTCCAAAACGGAGTGGCGTTTGCCGCGCGCTTGTTTTACACCACCTTTTTCAGTGTGTTCTTCCCCCGTAGGTCCTACCCATGGTAGCGGAGCTCCGGTTGTATGAAGTTGCGCAGGCGATCCTTCGCTCGTTCTTTAGCTGAGCCATGCCAGGACGCAGCCGCTGTTGAGGGCGCAGCCGTTGTTGAGGTGGGGCAGCTTCGTTGAATTTATATACTACTCTCCAAGAAGCGTGTTTCCATGAAGAGATCAACGCGATACCGTCCAGTCGGGATTGACAGGCGAAGCAGCCTTGCAGCGTTTGGAGAAGTCGCTTGAGCATGGTCTTCGAGTTTTGTGCGCGAAAGCAAGCGAAGGCAAGAGGAGTAGGAGAGTCCAGGAGCAGCTGCAGTCTCATGAGCTCAGGGCTCAACACGGGGAACACCGCCGGCGCTGAGGGAGCAAAACCTTCGACAGAAGGATGTGGGCGCGCAAGAGAACGACGGAAGGAGTGGTCAGCCAGATGCTGCAGCAAGCCGTTCAACGATGGCGCCGCAGCCGTATTCCATGGAGGGGCCACGCTGTGGACGAGTTGCGTTCTATCAAGATGCAATGCAGCTTGGAGGAGTCAAAGAGGAGGGAGGAGAAAGAGGACTCTTCCGTTGTCGTAAATCCGGTGGCTTCCGGTCGTAAATCAAAATTGGTCCCCGCTTGGGAAGGCTTTGGCGTCGAAGCGTTGAAAGCTCGGACCGCGAGTTGCAAGACCATGGGTGCTCAAATAAAGCGATCTTCACTCTCCTTGTCCACCAGAGTCGAAACTTTTTTGCACGACGCGCAGCGCGTCAGGGCTCGGAGTCGCTGGCGCTTCATCGTCGCCCAAGGTCCTAAGGTTGAAGCCTCTTTTGCCAGGCGCTTCACTTCCTCCACCACGTCTTCTTCACAGAGGTGGTTCTTTCATCGCCATGGCGTTCTCCCACTGTCTCCAGCAATGACGCATCTCAGGAGGATCATGCCCATCAGCCCCCAGTTGGCGGTAGTGGAAGAAACAGGAGCAGAGGGTGTAGAGGGCGACCCAGAAGGTAAGCAAAGAACCTCACAGCTTCCGCCAGGCGAATCCAGACGAAGCGATAAGAACCCTTGGACGGCGTGAACTCTGTTCATGTGTGGAGAGCCTTTCATAGAAGCTGGGCTGGGCACGGAATTTCGGAGGGAATGCGTTTACGCCGCGCAGATTTGCAGAAACAGATGCTCTGGCTTTCGAGTGCCTGGGTGTGAGGATTCTCGGCGCTTTGGCCACGATCTGGCGCAACTTGCGCAGTTGATGGAGATCTGGGCAGGGGCGCATGGCCTTCAAGATGTTCCGGCTCACGTGCTGGTGCTAGTCATTGCGCAAGGTTCTTATTGAACGGGGCTATGTTCAGAGCTCTGCAAATCCATGTTCCAAAGTCTGTCGATGACAGGGGTAGGTTTCAAGGGGTTCTTGTTTTTGAGGTTGACGATTTGTTGTTGTGCTCAGACAGAGGTTCAATTTCGACGAGATAAGTTTGTGGACCTGGCCACTCAGGGAGAGGGGCGTCCTTCTCGTTGACGTGAACAAGTATGTCCCGCAGAGATTAATGAGTAAGAAGTGACACTGCAGAAAGGCCGAGGGCAGGTGGATGGGCAAGCTGTTGGGCAAGCTGTGCAGGAGCTAGCGTGGACACTCAGCGCCGTGTCCCAAGATGGACAAGAGGCTGAGAAAGAGCCTGTGTCTGGACACGCAGTCCTCTCGATCACTTGGTGAAGACAACAGCGGGCTTTCACCGAAGACAAGCGAACTGCAATTCACATGCAGTGCGCTAGACAGCTGATGCATGAGACGAGCGCTGCCATGAAGTGGATCCGGCATGAACAGATGCTTGTTGACTGCTTTACAAAGCGAGCAGAAAATAATGATCGCGCGCTTAATTTACAATAGTTATATAGTTCTGGTCAAAAAAAGCGGCTCCATTGACCATAAAAAATTTGCGCTGGCGTATTCTGATTTTCTCAACCAAGGGCTTCGGGGCGCGCGACGCCGTTGCGTCCAAAGCGGAATGGCGTCTATTGCGCACTTGTTTTAGACCACCTTCTTCAGTGTGTTCTTGTCCCTTAGGTGCTGCCCACAGATATCGAATAGTAGCGAAATTCCCGAAAGAGAGAGCGGTCGAAATACGTAGAACTGATTGGGCTGTCAACTTGGCCGCACGAGGTGCGAACATATGCTGAGTTGTTTCAAAGCAGAGTCAACGGATGTGATGTTGGAAGCAATATATAAACAATTATTGAGGAGAGACGTTTCCATGCGCTCGCTGAGGCCATGGTTTCTTGCACCCAAGGGCACACCAGAGGCTACGTTGGTGAAGCTCAGGCCGCTGAAGGACTTTTTTGCGGTATTTGTGTTCTGGACCACTTACCCCCTTCTTCCCTACAGTTGCTGCTAGTCTTTTTTTGTGAGTTTTGGGGTCACCTAAAGTTGGTGTGTGGATGAACATTTGTTTAGCTGCTCGTTTCCATTGGTGTTGTTTTACTAAACTTGCCGAAAACTCGTACAATATGTGCATTGGGGGTTAATATTCCATATTGTGTGGTTAGTTTTTGGAACAATTCAATTTTCAGAACCGTAGCTTTCCGCCAGGAAGCGAGCACTTGCACCCTCCGATTCCATCCCCTTGCTGGTGTAGCCCTGCTTACTTTGCATTCGGTTTGTAGTGAGGTCTATTCCAGAATAATGTCGTTTCCACTCACTTTACCCATTTGGATGATGCATTTCTGCCCAGATATATACCATTTACTTCCAAGACCTTGGTCCTTCTTAGCGTTTGCAACAATACACTGTTCATCGTTGACTCGCAGGGAACCTCTGCAGCCAGAAAGATCACTGGAGGACACAACGCATGGGTTCAGATGCTGTTTAGAGATCGGAGGAGAGCAGCAAGGAAGACTCCAAACAAGGCTCAAGGTACAGTTTTGCCCATTAGGAAGATTGGGCCCGTTTCATTTCCTGTCAGAAAGGTATACCGTATACCTTGCAATTTCGCAGATTTCGGATCAAATCATTTGAATCAAGTAGGAGTGGCATTTATAACACGCCACACGACAACGAACATGCAATGGGCTGCGAAAAACAGCTCTGGTATGTAGCGGACATGTACCTCGCCAACGCGATGATTTATTGATCCAACTGGAATGATCATGAGGGATGTAACTGGATTATTCGCAAGGATTTTACCAATATACATAGACAAAATTTGCATTATTCATGCGATGTGTTGGCCGGTTGCTGCTCATCGTCAGTGCAGGTGCTGTCTCGAAACTACCATCTATATGTGTGACCCTTTTTGTGGAATGGAATGTGTACTGTATGTTTCCATGAAGCACTCATTTGATGCATGATGCCACCCAGAACTACCAAGAACAATCACGATGCCAAAAGTTTCAAGAAATGCAGTTATATATATGTATATATGTATATATGTTATCAATAGTCAATAAATAGCGTAAATCAAACATACAATAACTATAACTATATGGTCCGTCGTTTCGTAAGTTAAAACGAGCATGGTTCATATTTCATTGCAGTGTTCTGGCTTCAGCGTATGAGTAAGAGGCTAGCGCACGATTACTCAACCTGCAATTGCCGCTGTTGCGGCATCCTGGCACGCCTGTCCAGTTTCTTGCTTTGTGCCGGGACTTGGGAGGAGGTCAGATCAGCCGCGGTCCCGTTGCTGGAGGCGGCCTTTACTCGTCTGCTGGAGCGCGCGCTGAGCTTTCAGGTGGCGGGAGCGGGACCTCCTCCTTGGTGAGAGCATCAGGCTCGAGACAGGTGGTTCGGGGGGGAGTGGCCCCTCGTGATTCGGGAGTGCGGACTCCTGGAACTCTGGGAGAGACATCTCCTGAGGGATCGGGAGCGGCGGCTCCTGGTGACACAAGGGCTGAGGAAGCCCATCCGCCTGAGAGAGAAGAGGGCGGGCCAAGCAGCAAGGGCCGGGGACTGCCGCCCCTAGCCAGGCTGCGGAAGCGAGACCGGAGAGACGGAGAAGCAGGAGCAGTACATGGACGAAGACACAAGAAAGAAGAGAGAGCCCTTGGTCGACGTGAGGAGAGGAAGACAATGCAGAGGAGAGAAAAAGAAAAGGAGCGTGGGAAGGATCGCAAGTCCAGGTCATCGAAAGAAGGCTGAGAGGAGGCTCCACAGGGACTACGCCCCAAAGAGATTGCATGACTCCGGAGAGAGACCTCTAAGATCAAATGAGTCTAAATTTAGTCCCCGACTAAATTTACTCTTTTTTAGTGATTTAGTCTTGAGTCCGGCTGGTAATTTAGTCCGGGGCTCCGGACTAAATCCAATTTAGTCCTGAGACTAAATTACACACCTCTCTCAACCCTGCGGACCGCCCGAGCAGGCGGCCGCTGCGCAAGAAATGGCTAAAGTAAGAGCTCGTGTGATAGAGGGTCGTAGCAAAGAGGATAGGAAACAGCAGCGCAGGGCCGTGGGGCCATTGAAGGGTCTAACAGTTTCAACTAAAACACATGCACGCTACAAGAAGGCCAGGGAACGTTTCTACGACTTCCTACACAAGAACCAGCTTGAGATACCCACTAGACGTGACCAGTTTTAGTCTTGGAATATGTGGAATTCTTGTGGTCCGAGGGCGAGGGCCGTGGGCTCGACGCCGATACGATCGCAGGATTGCAGGACCTTGATCCAAAGCTTAAGGGGCGCTTCCAGCAGACATGGAGATTGATGAAAACTTGGAATACTCAGCAGATTCCTAACAGGGCGCCGCCCCTGCCAGAGCAGGCCATTTTGGCCATGGCCGGCTGGGGGTTTTTCCATGGACATTTCAATTTCTCAGTCTCTATCCTTTTGTGTTTCTATGCAATGCTAAGGACGGGCGAGGTCTTAGGCATCCGAAATTCCGATATCAGCATGAATTCTGCTAATTCACCTGCGGTGATTAGTTTAGGTTTGACAAAGGGAGGCAAAAGGCGGACAGGCGCAGCTGAGTCTGTGACATTGGCCGCTGCTGTTGCTTTAAAGTGGTTGTGGTTCTGGAAGGGTCAGAACAGCTCCAGGGCGTCGATGTGCCCGTCGGCCGCCACCTGGAGGAAAATGTTTAAGAACTGCTTATCTGATTTGAAGCTTAGTCTCTTCGAGTTCAGACCTTACTCCCTCAGGCGAGGAGGCTCGACCTTTTGGTTTTCCAAGCGCGGGAGTCTCGATCGACTCCTGATTGCTGGTCGTTGGCAAGCCGCGCGCGCGGCCAGGATTTACATTAACGAAGGCCTGTCAGTTTTAGCAGAATTGCATTTGCCCCATAAGTTCCTCCTCCCTTTTACTCGCGTGTTTCACTCTCAATCCACACCCCCGGAAGCAGCGCACTTGAGCGCGTGCACGAGGCGCAGAAAAGGGGGACGTGGAAAGGGTGGGGGGCAGGTCTTCTTTTCGTTTTGTAAGTAGCTGACTTCATGTTTTAAAACACGCCTGGCTCCGGGCTCTCGGTATGGCGAGGGGCCCGGTGGAGGTATAGGGAGGCGAATCTATTCCTCTGGTCTGGCGAGGTTTAGATTTGTGGTGTCCCTGAGGTTTGTGAGCCTCTGTTCACAGGGAAGTGAACCAGAAGTCATGCTAGACTATTTTTCCACGAATGTATTTAAATCTTTGACTCAACTGCGGAGCGCGTTGAAAAGGACCGAGCGAGTTTAATATATATATATATATTCACAAACATTTTGCGTCACAAACAACGCCATTGAGCTTTTGCTGAGCAGGCGCTCAGATCCAGGAAAGTGATATTTTTCTAGGCGCGGGCAGTTTAATGAGCACTGAACCATTTCAACCGTCCACAACAAACAATTGACGACCGCGGACTGGCCACAACTGGTTTAAACAAGTTATGAAGAGTTTGCGTGGCGAAAGCAAACAAACGAGCAGAGAGACTTGTTACCCAACCTCTTATGGGTTGATTTTGCTTGGCCAGGTGGATCTGCGTTTACCAGCAATGAAAGCGAGTCTCGTTTGCCAGAGTGGATGTTGCGGATTGTTGTGGGTACCAGAACTGCCGGTCAAGCTGAGGAGAACCTTGGCATCATCTACAAGTGGTTGGACGATATCATGCCCTTGGGTGCAAAAGGGATTTGAAAGGAGGGAGGATTCAGAAGGCTCTATTTTTGAAGCCAGACACAATGAATACCACTTGCTTGGAAACATTTAGTTGGGACTAGAAAGTATAAAGTCGCCTTTCTCCCAGTCTCCCAGTTGAGCAAAAATGAGATAAATAGAACTCGCCCTGCCAACGATTTAGCCAGGTGGTCCACTTCTTGGGACGATGCATCTCATCGATTGTTGGCGTATCAGCAGTTGCGGCAACTTGCAGAGGCCAGAGTTAACACCATTTTTTTACACAGATTTGCAAATTGCAAAGATTTATCCAACTTCAAAACACCAGGCGTGTGGACCAAAAACTGTTTGCATTGTAACATGGATCCCAGTTGTATCAGGTGAGCACAAACCACCTGCCTTCCTTGGCCTTTGGTGTAGGCGCCCCTTTGCCTAACCGGTCCAGAATGAAGGATGAAATGACATTGAGTACAGGATGCACATCATAAACTATGTGCATTTTCCTTAGTGCTACTTCTTGCAAGAACATGCAAGGAGCTTGACAAAGAACAAACCATTAAGCAAAGGCGAAGTGGTGCAGAGAAAGCAAGAGAGAAGAGGAGAGAAGAGGAGAGAAGAGGAGAGAGAGGAGAGAAGAGGAGAGAGGAGGAGAGAAGGGAAGAGAAGGGAAGAGAAGGGAAGAGAAGAAGAGAAGAATAGAAGAAGAGAAGAAGAGAAGACAAAAACTTGGGAAATGGACCAGCTTGTGCTGTTGTTGCGTTGTGGTTGTGTTGGGAAATGAATCTTGCTTCCAACAATGCCCCCGTTGCCCCTGGAGGTCAGGCTTTCTATTCCTACTTTTGGTTTGAAGAGAATGGCCCGAGGATACAATTGGAGGCATTTTTGCGTGTTGTAGTCGGTGTCTTGTGCGATTTGCTTGGTCACCATACCCGAAATGGGTAGCATGGCCTGCAAGCTCCCAGGCGGCGGAGCTGTCGGTTCACTTGCACGACTTGAGCCCTTAGGTTGCAACCAGAAGTGTTTCCTGAGGCAAAGTATACTTACTGTAGCTTTGTTGAGTCGAGTAACCGATGAGTAGACGAGTAGTAGACAAGCATACTGAACCTTAAAGAATGGTCTGTTTTGAACGAGAGTTTGGTTTCCAAGGCTTGAAGCACAGTGGATGCTCCGATTTAAGCCTTGGTGTTGGGACCTTCTTGAGTAAGGCGGAAGTAGAAAGACAGAGTGAAACGGCGGTGAATGCAAAGAATGCAAAGATGTTGCATTGGGGAGGTGTGCCATGAGCGCTGGCTGTTCCTCATCATGCTGTGTGCAGAGGCTGAAAGAAGCTAAAAACACAAAGTTCTGTACACATCTGAATCACCGCATCACAAAGAACAGAAAGGTTGTTTCTTTTGCCTCCCAACCACAGCTTGATTACGTAGCTGTGGTGCTGGTGATGCTGCTTTAGAGCTTTGCATTTGTAGTATTTTCTGAGTGCAAACTTGCGCAAATTGAAGTGTGAGCAGGAACAGGGAGTTGTTGCTCGTCACACATCATCACACTATAGCAAGGGCGCTAGTGATGTTGCTTTCGCCCTTGGCTCTTTGAGAATTTACTATCCGTTTCTGGTGTGCCTTTAGTGTGCTAAAAAATGTAAAAAGCACGCTAAAAGGAGGCTCGTATTTTCGCATTTCCTCCATTCGTGGTCATGGAAGGAATCCGTGACCTCCGCGGAGCTTGACAGCTTCAGAACTGTTGAACCTTGCTTGCTCCAACGAGCT